TAGTAGTAGCAGTAGTAGTAGTAGTAGTAGTAGTAGTAGTAGTAGTAGGCGCCCCCCCCCCCTACCAACCACCTCTGCTGCCAACCCTCTTAAGAGCACGTTCGTTTTACTCGGTATTTACGGTACGTTCGTCCTCTCATACCACTTCTTCTTGCCTCAAAATCCACTTCGCGACTTTGATAAATTCGGCTTCGGATTTGGGGCAGGGCGGAGTGGGGGGGTGGGGGGGGGTTGGGGGGGGTGCGGGGGATGATGACGACATTGGTACACAGACACCCCGAACAATATCTCCACAAGAGCCGTTTTAGTCGGTATTTACAGTACTTTCGTGATGGCGGACCCTCTTATATGATGATGGTTGATGATGGTGATCATGGTGATGATGATGCATGATAAAGGATGATGATGGATGATGATGATCGATGATGGTGGTGGATTGAGGCGCCAGGTGGTTGGCAGGGGGCGGGGGTGGCTAGTAGTAGTAGTAGTAGTAGTAGTAGCAGCAGTAGTAGCAGCAGCAGCAGCAGTAGTAGTAGTAATAATAGTCGCCGTCGTCGTTAGTGGTAGTAGTTTGTAGTAGCTAGTAATAGTTAGTAGTAATAGTTAGTAGCAGTTAATAGTAGTTAGTAGTAATTAGAAATAGTGAGTGAGTAGCAGTTAATCATAATTTGCAGTAAGCAGTAATAGTTAGTAGCAATTGGTTGAAGTTGGTAAGAGGTAGTAGTAGTTAGTAGTAGTTAGTAACTAACAAAATTAATAATGATTAGTCTATAGTTAGAAGTAGTGGGTAGTAGTTGGTATATAACTGGAAGTAAGTAGTAGTATTTCTTAGTAGTAGTTGAGAGTAGCTAGACATGATAAAAACAATAATTAGTGATAGTGAATAATAGTTAGTAATAGTTAGTAGTATTTAGTAGTAGGTACTAGTAACTAGAAATAGGTAATTGAATGTAGTTGGGCCTGGTTAGTAGCAGTTAAAATTAGTTAATAGTTGTTGGTAGAGTTAGTAACAAGTAATAGAAACAAGCAGATAATAATAGTTCATAATAGTTAGCAGTGCTTAATAGTAGTGAGTAGTAATTAGAAGTACTTAGTAGTAGCTAGTAGCAGTGAATAGTATTTAACCGTAATTAGTAATGATGAAAAGTAATTAGTAATTGTTAGTAATAATAAGAAATGATTAGTAGTAGTTAGTCGTAACTAATAGTAATTAACGATATCTAATTCTACTTGGTAATCATTAAAGGTCATTAGTAGTAGTTAGTACTAGGTAGTAGTAGTAAGAAGTAGCTGGTAGCAGCTAGTAGAAGTTAGTAGTAGTTAGTAGCAGTTAGTAGTAAGTAGTAGTAACTAATCATTAAAAGGGAAGAGATAGTAGTGGAGTGGCAGTGGCAGTGGCAGCAGCAGTGGCACTGGCAGTGGTTGGGGCATTGGAAATGGCAGTCGCTTTGGCAGTGGCAGGGGGAGGAGGAGGAGCAGCAGCAGCAGCGGCAGCAGACTACTACCACTACTACCACTACTACTCCTGCTACTACTGCTACTACTACGACGACGACTACCACAACGACGACGACGGCTACAACTGCTAGCGCTACAGTGCTAATTCCAGGGCGAGTGGCAGCTTCTACTAGTAGTAGCAGTAGTACTAACAAGTGCTAGTACTAAGTACTGCACCAGTACTCAAAACCAACCGTACTACAAGTACTAGGACTAGTCCTCGTAATCCTAGTACTTACTAGTACTGGTAAAGGTGCTGGTGCTAGTACTAGTGGGAGTAGTGCTAGGCCTAGTGCTCGTACCAATACTACCTCTATTGCAGACAAGGAGGCATTCAATTCTGGCCTGGATCGGCGCTGCGACGAAACATGCAGCTCCTCGTAGGCTCGACAGGGTGGCCAGGGCTGAAGCATAATTGAAGCAATTAGAGCGCAGAATCCCTGCCCTTAGCAATCGGAGCACTTTGAGCCCTGCAAGATGCCGCAGTTAGGCCGGGGACATGGGGGTTCTGCCCCGAGACAGCAGTTTCTTGACACAAGCCTGTGCTGTGAGGGCAGGGTCTGCCTTGAAGCGTTGCACCAATCGTCAGATAGCAGTGTATCGGATCTCCTCAATCAGCTCCACGATCTCACGGAACTCTTCAAAAAGCAGGCGATACGGACCAGCCTTCCAGGACAGCGATTCGGGATTGGGGGGTCTTAGATACGGTTCCTAATGGTTCCTAAAGCCAGGTTTGAAGCTATGGGGTATGGGAAAGCTGGAGATCCAGTATATGCACCAGACTGAGTCGGAGCTCCTGCGAAAGCAGGTCCAAACATTCGACGATCGAAGAAGGCACGTCCTGCAGCGTTGGCCCATGGAAAGTTTATACTAGGACCTTACTTCACAGTCTGGTATGGACCTATCTGGACTGCGTCACCATCAGCACTGTGACCATGGAGACATTACAGGGCAGAGGGGGTTAAAGCGGGCGAGCTAAAGACCGGCCCCAGTGAGGCGGAGATGTTTTGGGGAGGACGAGAGGGTGGTCGTTGGACCGGCCTTCCAATCCGCGTCACACTTAAAGGCTACCGAGGTTCAAGTGCTTGGTTAACAAGGGGCTAGTAACGGCTACGGCTAGTAAGCTCGTCCTGAGCTACTCGCGGAAACCCGCACGACACCCACACATGGACGGATTGACTCGCACGGCAAACGGGTGTGAGCCGGTTTTGAAGGCCTCGAGAGTCTACAAAGCACCTGCTGAGCTCCGAGATCTTGCCAAGCACCTCTAAGCACGTGTTAGGCCCACTCCTGCGGCCAGCGATATGACGTCATCCCAGCTGCTAATTCGAAGCCGAGAAGCACTACGTACTAATCGCAGGACGAAGCCTGTATTCCTCAGCACAAACATGCCACCGCTCACAAATCACGAAGGCCGCCACTCCCTGCCCGACCCTGTCTGGCAGGCGAGGTGGCTGCAACGACAACTATACCACCACCAACACAACCACCACCTAGAGACACCTCGCCACAGCGGTAGCTGGCAGAACCTTCTCGGCAGCTGCTTCCCCCCCAAGAGTCATACTGGCGGGATTGAGACACACCACACAATTCTCTTCACGCCCAGCCTAGGGCACCGCACTGTTTGGGAAAACACGGTCCTGGAAAGGCGTCCTGCGGCTGGCCCTGGCCGTCAGAAGCCTGGGCAACTTGCAATCAGAAATCAGAAACGACAATTTTGCCTCTAAGCTTAAAACGACCGTGCTCCGGACACCAAGCTACATGTTGGATTTACAAAAAAGCTATGGGGAAGCTAAACAAAAAAATGTGGACAGCGAACAAAGCCAGAAAACAGCCAAACAAGAGCTACTCCAAAAAGCCACCAACAAGCCAACAGAGCGACTCCAATACCCTGGCCCAGGTCATTAAAAGAGTGAGCTGCTTTATATGTGCGTCCACAGGCTCTCAGGGTGATCAGCCTCCCTATGTTGAGCGCCCAGGGATTCCAGACCCCCATCCTCCCCCACCCCTCAGCTTTCACTTCGATGAACAGCAGGCTGCTGCTTGCTTGGCCTGTAGCTTTCTTGGCTTGCCTCGCCTCAGAAATAAACTCTCTTTTGGCTTTTTATCGGCTCGACTGTGGGGGGAGTCTGCATGCTGGAAACGTAGCTTTCCCTAGGGAACCTACAAAAAGCTAAACAAAGCTCCAAAGAAGAACTAACAAAAAGGCAAGAACAAACTAAAAACCAGCCTCGGTCAAGTGTCCCCACCACAATCATCTGGTCCGGCACGGCAGCTCCAGCTAGAAGGTATCGCAAAATACGGGGTTGTGACAAACTGACCCAGGAACCCAGTAGCAACCCACCCGGCAGGCCCTCCAACATAAACCGTGTTTTCCCAACGGTGTCGACGCGGTGCCAACCGAATTCTCCGTTTCGTCAACCGTCTTCTACACAGAACTTTTATGCGGAACTCCAGACGATAGCTTTGTCTGTAACGTTCTCGTGGCTTGTCTGTAGCTTTTCTGTAGCTATTCGGTAGCTAATTTGTTAAGCCAAGCGTTCCGGGCGTCTCCAGGCACACGGCTTTCCTAACTCTAAGCACGTGCTCCGGTTTCGTCTTTCAGGCCAAAGCATGCTAGGACATGCTATGTCGGCGGCAGCTTACAGAAGTTCGGCCAGCCACCGAGCCAGGCGTCTCCGAGCTTCGAAGTCATCCACGAAGCACAGACCCAAAAATGCCTCACAAAAGCTGGATCCACAATGCTTCGAATGCTTCGGAGCGTGACCCTAAGAGTACTGAAGCAGCCTCGAGCTTTCATATGTCGAGTCAGTCCGCTTTCGTGGGCCTGCCGGGAATCGTCCTCACGAGACATTCGAAGCCACTCCTGCCATCTCCGCAGAGCAACACCAAGATATAACCGTGTGGTGTGTCTCGGGTGGAATTCCGGTGGATTGGTCATGCTGGGGTCCGGCTATTCTTGTTGAAGATCGCCACTCAAGGTCTGAAGATTCTCTCGATGGCACACTCGGGCTTCCGCACTGCAGTCGAATTTATGTCGGAGTGCTTTGAAACCATGGGGGAGCCTGCTGCACCATCTAGGAATCTAGCAGACCCATTCCGTTGGCCCAGAATATGCCTGAAAGCACAAACCTCGCCCTTACCTACCGCAGGCATTACAAAGCTGAGGATACCTATATACAAGGGTAGCAGCAGTTCTGTCAACCTCCGCCAGCCGAGCGGCATAACTCTGCACCTCCTCGTCCTCCTCGCCCATCCGCTGTGCCGGGGCTGCCACAGTCGTTGGCGTCGGGAGCTGGCGTTGCTTCGTTAGTTAGTCCCCATACACATAAACAGACAGACAGACAGACAGACAGACAGACAGACACGCACCGAGAAATATGTACACGTACACACCGATCTAAATTTTCAGTTGGGGAGGGTAGGGGGGAGATTGTAACCTGGGCATGTATCCCCTCGCAAAGCGTACAGGAACACCTGCACACGCAGGTGTCTCTTTTTGCTACAGGCGCACAGCTGTAGATTGGTACTTTGCTAGAACCTTGAGCAACAGGCATGGATATATTCGTGAAACGGACATGCACCTGGATCTGTAACATTCTGTGTTTCAACCAAACGCAAATCTAAAAACACGTAGAACTGCATGGCCGTGTGGTCGGCACTCTACATTGCTTGTTATTGCTCAAGCGGCTTAAGAACGGAGTAACATTGAGCTACAAAAGTGACTTGCGAGAATCTATACATTTCTTGCCTGGAGACAGCTTTTCAATAAAAGCAGAACAAGCCCAAAAAGCCCAAACGGATCTTCGGTGCAAAATCTCTCTTCTGAGAGTTACTGCACAAACAGGTAGAGCTTAGCTCCACTTGATGCCAGCTATGGCAACTGCGACGCTGACCTTGTATTCCATCCGACTCGCAGGTGCTTGAGCCCATTGATCATCGTCCATTGAATGTCCCCACTCCATGACGGTGGCGACAAGTGGATCCAGACCAGGAAACGTATTTCAACCGGTCGGCGTGCAATCCTCATAAGGACAACCACATTGGTCTTCGTACTCTGTGAGAAGACAGAGGCTGTTTGCCGAAAAATGCTGCACCCGAGGGTAGCACATTGGCATGGACTCTCCGTCAAAGCCTCCACGAAATAATCGAGGGTGCTTTGATACATGCCCCCTCTGATGTCGATGGATTCTTGATTACGTCCTGCGGCACGGTATAACGCCACATTTGCATCACCACCAATCAAATCAACCTGATAATGCAAGCAATCAAGAAACATCGTTCCGAGGGCCTCATGACTGAGACCAACTTTGCCGGCCGCTGCATTGTTGTCCAGACGGAAGACACAAACATGGAGACGTCGTTGTAAATGAGGATGATCAACGACCCGTCTCTTGTAAGCGAAGCCTGCGGCCGATAACCTGAAGGTTTGTTGCTGATATTGTTCGGGTAGCTCACCTCACAGAGCGTGTTCTACTTGTTAACGGTCGCCAAGTAGAGATAGTAGGAGACGTCTTCGCGGCTTACCGATTCTTCCCTGCAGGCACTCGCGCAGGCGAACTTTTCTCGGGTTGCGCTCAGTCCATGATCTGTGCAAAGGGGAATGGCTCAGACTCTTGGATCAGGTAGCCCACAACTGCGTCGTAAGCTGTTGGCTATTAGCAGACTGTTGAGCCAAAGTTGCGAGTAAGGCGGAGCACTTCAAAGTGAGCAGCAAACTCTGTACCCTCTGCAGAGCAGCAGAGTAACTGTAACTTTGTTGCTAGTAGATCACAGTCTGACAAGCAGTCCAGTGATCACTGCGATCATCACTTTCAAAGCTCTTATCGTGATGCACACGAATGGTACGAGGCATCAAGGTCTGTTCACTACTAGTAGTGCTACTGCTGCTGCTGCTGCTGCTGCTGCTGCTACTGCTGCTACTGCTACGGCTACTGCTACTGCTACTGCTGCTACTCCTGCTGCTACTACTACTACTACTACGACGACGACGGCGACTACGACGACTACGACTACGACCACGGCCGCTACTACTGCTGCTACTGCTACTTCTGCTGCTACTGCTACTGCTACTACTGCTACTATTACTACTACTACTACTACTACTACTACTACTACTGCTACTACTACTGTTTCTACCGCTGCCGCTACTAGTACTGCTAC